GTCCATACTCCATTGATGAAAATTGGATTCTCTACTATCAACTTCGTCTTATGGGTCACATATTCCATCAGAAATCGTTGTAAGGTGATGCGAATGAACTTATTGGTCAAACCGAGACGTGACGATCCGACCGATGCAAGAAACCAAACCAAAACTACGTCTAGTTCTCATTGTTTTGTTTTAATTTTGTAAATAAGTCGCCACTCCTCTGCCTCCTAGAAACAAGGAGCAACTCTCATGTTTCCCTTATAACCCCATTATGCTTTGTGTTTTGTAGGAGTTGAAACTCCATCTTCATATTATAAATAGAAAAACCAAAACGGAAAGAGAGAGAGAAATTTGCCTAAACTAAAGTTTGTTTTAATGTTTTTGTTGCCTTTGATGGGGACCTTCATCATTCATAAGGTTTGATGACTAATTACATGAGATAGTTAATTAGTTACAATCATGAAATGGCTATGTCCATAAATTAAGATCGTGAAACCTCTAATGGGGCTCCTAAACCACAATAAGCCTATTATCTCTGTTTGAGGGAACCATGCCTCGTCACGAGACAAACTGATTAAGCAAAGAATAAGACCCACCAAACTTTTCATGTTTTTAAAAGCCACATTTTAAAGTAATGATAATGGCTATATCTTTAGGGCATAAAAATTGTGTGTTTACTAACATGTATTCATTGAATATAAAAAGTGCTAGTATAATTTTGTTTTTTTTATCATACCATTAAAATCAATTTCGTAGTGAGCTGAGATTAACTGTCGTGTGTTGACCTCGACCCTCTCTGTTAAAAATTCTTAAAATCTTAAAACACCCAAAAATTGGTTTTCTTTTTATTTTTCCTTTTCTAAAACACTTGTTTGATGGATGGATTTTGATCACATATGTATATTAACGTCTAAGGAACTATTAATTTCTCCAATTTTGAAGGGATTACAAAAAGAATACTAAGGATATATATATATAAGACTACAATGAATTGTTCATATTAACAAACTGATTACATGTAAAGAATATATATAAGAATCCTTGAATTTGGATCCAAACTAGGTGTTAAAAAAAAAAACCTAGCCTTTGTCAACAACTCTGTTTTTCCCCTGTTTTTCTAGCACTCCCGTCACCGGACCGTGACCCAGCTGTCAGCGACAGACCAATCAGGGATCGATTCACTAACCAAACTCTCAAATCTCTCCACCGGAGAATCCAACGGCTGATATTGCGTGTGTGATTCCGATGATGAGTCAGATTCCCAACCGGAGAATTCGAATGGGCATCTCGGCGACGTCGGTACATCTCCATCTTCCTTCACCGTCACATCGAAATCTTCTCGGTCGAAATCAACGGCTACAAACGAATGGTTTAAAAGCATCTCAACCGTCCATCTTTTCACAGGATCTTTAACAAAACACTGCGACAAAAAATCTTTTCCTTCTTCCGACAACTCCACCGGAATCTCCGGTAACTCCTCCCCGACACCAATACGTATCAAAAGCGACATGAAGTTCGAACCTTCTTTAAAACTCCATGCCGTTTTGCCGCTAAACATTTCAACTACAGCGCATCCTAACGCCCACACGTCAGCAGCTGATCTGTACTCGTTATCGTTAACGGATTCCGGAGCCATATATAACGGTGTTCCTCGTATCTCCACGCCTTCTTTTGACGCCGTTAAATCTCCGTTAATCTTCCTCGCTAATCCGAAATCTGCTATCTTAACGGAGCCGTCGTCGAATAACAGAATATTCCCGAGTTTTATATCGCAGTGAGCGAACCCGTTCGAGTGGATGTGACGTAATCCTCGTAGCACCGATTTTGTGTGGTTACGCACGGCGGATTCCGGTAAACCCTCGCCGTTTAATTTCTTTAGTTGAGTAGCTAAGCTTCCTCTCGAAGCGTACTCAAGTAACAAATTATGTAACTTCTCGCCGTTCTCCACCGTTTGATCCTCGCCGTAACACCGTACGATCTCAGGGCAATCGCCGAGTGAATCCAACACAGATTTCTCGTTAGCGATCGAGGCGGCGCCGTAAGAATCCGCTGATTTGACGGCGATGAGAGAAGGGAAGTCGTCGGAATCTTTGGTGTTTGTCGCTTTACTGACGGTGGAAAAAGTTCCGTGTCCGATTGTTTCTCCACGAACCCACTCCATTGAAACAGAGAATTGAGAAGAAAAACAAATATGTGATTTTTGATGGGTTTGTGAGATAATTGTGAAGAAAGGTTTCGTTTTTATAGATACGAGATTTGGATTAGGGTTAAAAAAAAATCCTTTTTGTTTTGGGATTCAAAATTGGAATATGATTTGAAGTCTTTAGGAAGAAGATACAGAGCACGTAGCTCGTGACTGCTAATTTGTGCCTCTTGGTGCAACTTCCTCATTATATACTAAAATTTTTGATATTTATTTCCAAGTTTTAATTTTTGGGATAATTATTAGTTAATGCACGTGATGTGAGAGATGATATTTTTGATATTTCCTAGTTGGGATGCTAAAAATGAAATTAAATATCAAAATATTTACTGTATTAGAATTCGAGAAATAATTACTATTTGTCGCACGACTTTGGTTTTAGTTACGATGTTTGAGATCGAGAAATTTGATGGTGAAACTTTGATTAAAATCTTGACCGTAAATTAATAAACCAATCTACGAGGATCAATATTATTATTATCAGAACATTTTTAGATCTTCTTTCAATGGCCGTTGATAGTATAAAATTATTAAAACTGCAAGTTGGGTTTGTAATGTTTTTATTTTCTCAATTCAAGAATCAAATTCTTCTCTATTTGAGAACGTTTTCACATTTCTCCTCGTATTTTCGCCTTTCTTTCTCAAAAGCAAGAGAAAAAAGTCTCTAAGTTGTAACCATTAATTACGTAGTTATTTATATATTGATGGTTTTGCATAGTTTTTATGTAAAATCAGTTTCAACTTAATAAGTAAAAATAAATGTTAATTAAAAAGAAAAATGGAAGGCAGGTCATCATAGCAGCGGCAATTTGCATGTCTATATTCAAATACTATAATGTTTCTCTGCAAAAAAAAAAA